GGGGCACAGCGTGGGCCCTGCCCAGGGAGGAAGGGGTGAGGACTGGGGAGTTTAACCAGATTGGCCCACTTTGCCACTTCATATCTGATCTTTGCAAATAATGAAAACTTATTCCGGATGAACTAATTTAGTATGTTGCTGTGCAGGCATCTGGAGTGATGTTGTGATTGTAGTGGTGAGACCCACTGTGTGTAGGGTCCTGGCTTTGGAGCTTTACATTCCTCATTGAATTTAATCCTCACATCAGCCCCCAGATATATTATTCCCAGGGGCTGATGAAGCATCTGGATATGAGAGGACTGGCCCAAGGTCACAGCTTGTGAGGGGTAGAGCCAGGATTCGAATCCACGTCTGTCTGGCTTAGAGGCTGGTGCTTTTTACAGCACCCATAATAAAAAGTCAAAATCAGACTTGCAATAGGGCAGTAAGTACACCATGAGGATGGAGACTAGGAAACAAGAGTTCTGACCTCCTTGAAGGCAGACTTGGGCTCTGACTGGAGGCTGGAGTTGGGGGAAGAACTGGGCAATGAGTACAGGCCTTGGAGTTCTGATGACATGGGTTTAAATCTGAGCTCTGCCCTCACTGCTGTGTGATCTTGATCAAGTAGCTTGACTGTTCTGTGCCTCAGTGTCCCTCACTGTGGAGAGGATGAAGCTCACCTAGGTTTGCTGTGAGGTTTAAATGGGAATAAGCCAGGTGCAGAAAGCTCCTGGTACCAGGGCTGCCACATAATGAGTAGCTAGCAACAGTCATTCACCATTTCCATGGCATGCAGGTGGGCAGGACATCCTTCCTCGTGGGACCGGGTGAACCATCCTGGTCAGCTAGGGGGAAGGGGTTGGAGGGAACAGTACAGGACCAGCCAGGCTCACCCCCCACCCACCAGGGCCTGCCTCCCTCTGGAGCTCCCTGACCTCTGGCTTCTAGTGCTTCAGTGAAGCTGCTGGGTGTGGGACTGTGAGACCTGAGCCTGCACTCGGGGTGACAGTGGGAACAGATGTTCAGAATGGTCACAGAGAGTGTGCCAGACCCTCCTCCTGCTCCTAAGGTCATCAGGAGGTGAGGCCGAGTCTCAGAGAGGGGAGTGCGTGCACAGGGTAGGGCTGAGTCCAGCATGAACTCGGTCCACCTGGCTTCCAGCCTGAACTCTTTCTGCGACACCCTTCCCTCCACTGGAAATGACCTGCTAGCTGCTTCCCCCTGAGCTGAGGGCATCACAGGACCCGCCCTCCTCTCTGACCCCATCTCCTAGCACTTCCTTCTGGTTCGCCAGTAATTCTAGCTGCCTGTTTTTTTTTCTCAGATACACCACTTGTTCCTGCCCCAGAGCCATTGCACTTGCTGTTCCTGCTGCCTGGACTCATCCTCCTTTTCTTCTGGTGGCTGGCTCCTTTTCATCAGTCGGGGCTCAAGTCAAATGCCTGCTCCTCCGAGAAGCCCTCCCTGACCACCCCAGCTTGAGTTCTCTCTCCTCCCCATTTTAATACTCTCTCTGGATCCTGTTTTTCCCCTTTGTACTTAAAACTGCAATCTGAGGTTGCCTTGTGTACTTGATTGCTTATTTATTTGTGCCCACCAGAACATCAGCTCCACGAGAGAAAGGTCCTTACTGAGTTTGGTTCCCATGGTGTCCTCAGCCCTAGAATGGTGCCGGTGCATCACAGGTGTTCACGAAGTATTTACTGAGTGGATGAAAGAATAACCTAACCGGGTTCTCACAACAACCCTCACAGTAGTGAGGCAGAGGACAGGGGGTTGCTCATTCTTTGCAGCTCCTCCCAAGCAGAGGAGTCGCCTCTCCTCCCTGTGAGTCTGGACTGGGCCTGTGACTCACACTCATCAATGGAATTTGGTGGCAGAAATGAGGCCATGTGATTTCTAAAGCTAGTTCTTAAGAAGCCTTTCGGCTTCTGCCTGGTGTCTTGGAACACTCTGGGGAAGCCAGCTGTCTCGTGGGAGGCCCGACTAGCCTGCGTCTGCCATAATGTCAGGAAGCCCAAGCTGCCAGGCGGTGCCGGACCGATGAGTGAAGAAGCCATCTCGCACCTGCAGCCCCAGGTGCCCTTGCTCTGCAACCACACGAGCAAGCCTTGCCCACCTGAGCCCAATCACTGGACACAACTTTGAGAGAGAATGATAAAACACTTTAAGCCACCAGATTTTGAGGTGACGTTACACAGCAATAGATACAGATAAATGATAATGTAGGAACGTACTCTTCATTTTTCAGGTCAAAGAAACCAAGGCATTGGAGGGTCAAGTGACTTACCCACAGCACTTGGCAGACTGGGTGCTCCAGCTCAAACTGTCTCCACGCCTGTGCTTTTAACTTACAGGCCACATCCCTCTGAAGCTAATTCGCATTTGTACTTTCTGATTTTTTTTCTTTTAACATCACTGGTGGTAGTATCAGGAGGAGCGCTGGTCCTGAGGACTTTCTTCCTTCTCGTTGCAGATCTTCATAAACAATGAGTGGCATGACGCCATCAGCAAGAAGACCTTCTCCACGGTCAATCCATCCACCGGGGATGTCATCTGTCACGTAGCTGAAGGGGACAAGGTGAGAACTGGTGACTTAACCTCGGGGCAGGGCTGAGCCGGTTGGAGATGGGCAAGGATGGTTTCATTTTTCAACTTTATGTGTTTTTGTATGGCTGAAACCTTACCATGTGTGTATTACTTCCGTAACTAAAAAAATGCCAATTAAAATTTTTGAGTAAGTAAAGCCACAGAAACTCTTCCTTGTAGACAAAGGTGCTAGATTGTACCTGGGTTCAAGAAATCATACAGTTGTGGAATTGTAGGCTTGAAATTGAATTTGAGAACATCTAATCCAGTCTCTCCTTTCCAGACCTGGAAGTTGAAGGTCAGAGAAAGGAAGTGCACAGCTAGATGGAAATCTTGTTGAGCAGAACTGGGGTCTCCTGAGATCTAGCTCTGGTGTCTGTCTTGTATTTTGTTTTAATTACGTACACTCATAGTAATATAAAAACAGTAATATTAATTTTAAAATTTAAAAATTGGACTTTCAGTAAAAAATATTTTTTAAAATACAGAAAGCATTAAAAATAATTCAAGAATGCCTCCTGCCCTCTGCTTTAAGACAGTCTTCTATATGCACATTTAAGGTCTTACTCCCTTTCCTAAAAGAAAATGTGACTACTTTTTTGGCTCACAGGATAGTCTGATGGTAAATGTATTTAGTATTAATGAAAACCATGCTCCCCACCTCCTGAGACACATCTCCCTATATGGAAAATGCTAGCTGTGTTGATTTTATTGCTTCCTCAAGAAGAGGGAAGCTGGTTAAACCTGCCTTTGCAGGAGACTGCCAGTGGTCTTAGCAGGCATGGTTCATTCACTAGGCTTGCTTTGAAAGGAGGAAGGGAAAAACAGCCAGTTCTAAGCACTCACCCCTGAGTGCCTCTCCTTGCAAAACTCTTGGGGCAATTTTGAATTGGAAATCCAGGAAAGAAAACTGTCAGGATCCTCACTCCCACTGTGACTCCTGGGAGGGAGAGAAACCCTACCGCTTAATTCTGAAGCTGGTCAAACAGGGCCCTTTGAGGTTGGGAGGGACTGTCTGGGGCATTTCCCACACGGGCACTGACTGAAGCCCCTGTGGGGTGCGTTTGGCAGCGGGGCAGGAGGTATCTGGAGGCAGTTACTGCTGAGAGGGCCTGAGTTGCCTTGGTGGGTGTTTTCCAGGAAGACGTGGACAGGGCAGTGAAGGCTGCCCGGGCTGCATTCCAGCTGGGCTCGCCTTGGCGCCGCATGGATGCGTCCAACAGGGGCCGGCTGCTGAACCGCCTGGCCGATCTGATTGAGCGGGACCGGAGCTACCTGGCAGTGAGTTCTCAGCCCCCTCCCCTCTCATCCCACAAGGTGAATGGGCTCAGAGCATCCTGTGGACAGCCAGGAAAGGGCTGCATTGCTGACAAGTAACTGGTTAGAATGGCAGAGGCTGGACACCTTTGGGGTACCCCCCTACACCAACCTGGGGAGCCTCTTAGTGTCTCCTTTGATGCAGTGAGTTTGGCTAAGAAAGGAGGCGATTCAGGGGCTAAGGGGACCATGATGGGGAAGCCTTCCCAGGATAAAGACCCTCAGGGATGGACACCTCTCCCAGACCCCCTTTGTGTGGTGGGCCTTCTCTCTGGCTGCAAGCAGCGGAAGAAACCAGGAGGCAGTACCCTTTCCTCTCCCAATCCATACTGCACACAGCAGCCAGAGCGAACCTTCTAGAAGGCAGATTATACCATGGCACTCTGCTCTTCACCCTTCCATGACATCCCGTATCCTGAGGGTAAAGTCCCCCCTCCACATGGTCTACTAGTCCTTGCCTGGGCTGGCTCCATCTCCCAACTCATGCTGGGCGGTGGCCCCCCCCCCACAGCTCTGCTCACCAGCTCTCCCTCAGCTTCTTCACTGCCAAGCTTTGGGCCTTTGCACATGCTGTTTCCTCTGCCCAGGGTGCTCTTCCCTTCGTCAGCATTTGTACCTCCACCTTTGCCTGGGTCCTCCCACATATCCTTCAGGTTTTAGCCTACAGGGTGCTTCTCACGCTGGAGTTTCTCCGATTGGGTTGGGCACTTTCTAGCATCCTGAACACTTGTGACTAACAGTCGTGTCATTATTTGCTGACTTTCTGCTCTATAAGCTCCATGATCTGTCTCTGTATTCCCAGCACCTAGATCTGACATGGAGCAAAAGCTCGAAAAACTGTGTTTGTGAAAAGATTGAATGAAGTTGGTACATCCTTCTCGCATCCCCCTTCTCATGCTCCCTGCCATTGAAGAGGGAGGGGCAATGGCCCAGAAAGGCTGGGAAGTCCAGCATAAAGCTAGCCACAGCCCTTCTCAGTCTGTGCTGAGCCCCAGTGCTGTTCATCTCCCCATTTGCTCTAATTCTTTCCTGCGTCCGCCTGTCTGCATCACCTTGTTCTCTTTTCTCAGGCCTTGGAGACCCTGGACAATGGCAAGCCCTATGTCATCTCCTACCTGGTGGATTTGGACATGGTCCTCAAATGTCTCCGGTACGGGCTCAGGCTTCCTCTTCTTTGTTCCGGCTGTGCCAAAGGGGGGAGCGTGTTGCTGGGGAGGGTAGAAGCAGAATAATGTAGAAGGATCGTAGGAGTTGGAGAAATGTGCTCTAAGTTAGACTCTATCTCATGGGAATAATCCCTCAGTACCCAAACTGTAATTAGTCATACATACATGTTTTCTCTTCTTTTTTTAAAAAATTTTTTGGGGGAGGTTTGTTTGCAGGGGGAGGTAATTAGGTTTGTTTATTTTTAATGGAGGCACTGGGGATTGAACCCAGGACCTCGTGCATGCTAAGCACACGCGCTACCCCTGAGCTATACCCTCCCCCTTTTGTCTTTCTTCTTGAGTCATTTTTGGTAATTTATGTGTTACTTGGGAATTTGCCCCTTTCATCTAGTGTTTCTAATTTGTTGTCTTCCACTGCACATAGTAGTATAATCCTTTTTATCTCTGTGAGGTCGGTTGTAATGTCTCCGTGTCTGTTTTGATTTTAGTTATTTGTGTGTTCTCCCTAATATTCTTAGTTTGGCTGAAGGTCTGTCAATTTTGTGAATGTTTTCAAAGAACCAGCTTTTGGATTTGTTGATTCTATTGTTTTTCTGTTTTCTCTTTCATCTATTTCTGCTCTAATCTTTATTATTTGCTTCCTTTTGTTAGCTTTGGGTTTAGTTTAATCATAAACATTTTAATGACCAAGAAATGTAAGATGAAGAATAAGAGCTTTGTCAGAGCCCCTGGGTCACAGGTAACAGGAACTCACCCAGCCTCACTTGTGTAGCTATGGAGAGTCGGGGTCTTAAATCCAGAAAGACACCGAGTCTCATGGCTGCCCCTCTGCTCCATTCTTCTCTCGATTACCCTGGCCTCTTATGTGGCCTGGCTGCCCACACCCAGGCTTGTTTCTTTCCGTATATGTGATTCCAGCCAGACTAAGCTCCAGTCCCTCAGCCCTCATGCCAGATTCCTGGAGGAGAGATCCAGATTGGCTGGCCTTGAATCTGTCCAGCTATCGTCCAAGTGTACAGACCACTGTGCAAATAATGGTTTTTTCCCCTATGACCGTGTGGATGGATGTGGAGGGGAAGAAGATAAGTAGGGATTGGACAACAAAACAGTAGTTATCCCCATAATAGGAATTCTCAACCAGGGCAGTCACGTCTCCCCGTGGACAGTGGGTAATGCCTGGAGACCTTTTTGGTTGACACAACTGAGGACAGGTGTATTGGCATCTAGTGCATAGAGGCCAGGGATGCTGCTAAAAATTCTACAATGCAGTGAATTGCCCCTCAGCAAAGGAATGTCCAGCTCCAAATGGCAGCAGTGCCAGGATCAAGAATGCTCTGCAAGGATGCCCCAGAGGGAGCAGCCTGGTGAATCTCAGGCAGAGCCCCAGGCCGTCCTGAGTTTTAGCAGTTTGCCTTTGTGCCGATTAAATACCTGTTTGGAGGCATGGAAACGTGTGTACTATAGACCTGGGAGGAAGGGAGCAGTGTTGCCTTAATTGGTACAAATTGGCAACTCCCTGGCTATTTTTCTCCCCAAGGTCACAAAAGCATGTTCAAACCCAGGTCAACACCGGTCTAAGGCTAACCTTGACATTCGTGTCACAAACCCCTCTTTTGCCCTACATGTTGCATCTCTCCCCCACCTTTCATTTCCCTGAAAACCATTATGTACTACTAACACACGGCTCTTCCTTTCCCCCTAGCTCTAACTCACTGTGCTTTTCTGCCACTTGTGTCCCTCTGTGTCTGGATAGTAAATTTTACAGGGTTGAGACCCAGTCATTGATTTGTTTCTGGTGACTGTTTACCAAGTCTTAGTACAATACTCTGCACACAGCAAGTACCAGCCATTACATGGGTTTGCACTTTCCCAGCAGAGCTGACCCATGGTTCTCAGATGCTAACCTAGGGTGCTAGGCGATACAACAGTCACGGTTTAATAAATCTGAATGTTTATTACAAACACCGATTCCTGAGCAACAGCCCTGGAGAGCCAGACTGAGTACGTCAGCAGTGGATGCCTGGAATTTGGTGTTTTTCACAAGTACCCTGGATGACACTGAGGTGTAGAGGTTAGTTACCTAGAATGGATTACTGTGACCCTAGCAGTTAGTTAATTCTTTCTGGAAATAAGCCAAGAGCGGAGACAACTGTCCAAAAGACCCACCTGGACCAGTTTGAATCTTATCTTTCTGCCAGGGTTTACAGGGGTCCCTGACAGTCATTGATTAAACTTGGATTTTTTTTTTTAATTTAAGTTACTACGCTGGCTGGGCTGATAAGTACCATGGGAAAACCCTTCCCATTGATGGGGACTACTTCAGCTACACCCGCCATGAACCTGTGGGGGTGTGCGGGCAGATTATCCCGGTGAGTGTTAGCCTCATAAAAACAAATGAAGGTTTATTATCAGGAGTGCTGTGAGAAGCAGCGATCTTGGGCAGGCTCATTGCCAAGGTGGGAGGGTCTGTGGATGATGCTGGAAGGTGGCCTGGCCAGTGGTTGAGGACGTGGGCTTTAATAAAGCCAACCAGTGCTGCCCTGTGTGAACTCTATGACCACGGGCAAGTCACTTATCTCCCTGGGACTCGGTTTCCTTATCTGAAAAGCGTAAGTGAACACCGTAGCTGTTTTAGGGAGGTAGGGAGGAGTGCATTCGACAATGTAGCATGGTGCCTGGTACGTAAAAAGCACGAATGAATGTGGGTTGCTAATATTATCATCCACCACCTGCCTCCTCCGTCTGTCTTAAACCTACAGTTGAGTTGTGGGGGGAGCACAGGGAGTTCAGAGAACAGGGAGTTCTGCTCTCTGGGCTGGTCCTTTCTGCTGCTGAGGCAGCTCTGGGCTGCGATTTGGGGAGTGGCTGTTCTTGATTGCAGTGGAACTTCCCGCTCTTGATGCAAGCATGGAAGCTGGGCCCAGCCTTGGCGACTGGAAACGTGGTTGTGATGAAGGTGGCTGAACAGACTCCACTCACTGCCCTCTATGTGGCCAGCTTGATCAAGGAGGTGCGTGGCTTGTGTCCATCTTGACCTCTAAATGCCCCATACAGGCTTGCTCTACAGGAGTCCTGAGGAAGGGCCCCAAAGTGGGGGCTGAGCCCCTCTGACCCCCACCTCATACACTTTGGCCGAAGTGGGCCCCTTTCACCTCTTTTTTGCATTGGGTTTCACTGCAAGACCCCTTTCAAGAATGAAAATCGTTCTAAGTAAATGCCACTGGGGGGTGGGCACAGGGAACCCCACACAACAGGTTCCTCACTGTACCACTTACAGTTCCTGAGCAGTACCCAGTAAGACTGCTCAGCTGTGTCCTGGGCAGACTGCCTCAGTTTCTCTGGGAAGGGAGGCATATTCCTCTGTCCAGGCCCTTTGGAGCAGGAGGATGACTCCCAGTGTCCCTGGCGGTTTGCCCACAGGCTGGCTTTCCTCCTGGTGTGGTCAACATTGTTCCTGGATTTGGCCCCACAGCCGGGGCCGCCATCGCCTCGCATGAGGATGTGGACAAAGTGGCCTTCACAGGCTCCACTGAGGTAAGGCACCCCAGGACCTCAAGCTCGTGGTGTGTTTGGCTCAGGCAGCCCTGTCCTCAAAGGATGATACGTTCAGGGTTAGCCTCTGGGTACTATGACGGGGGTCTGTCACAAGACTGCCTCTGAGTAGCTCAAGTGAGGGGCCCCACGTGCGCCAGCAGTGACCATCAAGGTGGAACTCTTCATGGATTGGTTGACACTTCAGTTGCTGGGGGTTGGGGGCAGCATCTCATGTGGGATAAAGAGACCAAGACTGCCTAGACTTCACAAAGCGCAGAGCTGACCACCTGCCCAAGGTCAAAGCACCTTTGCCGTGTCAGACTTCTTGACTGGCACTGCTCTGGTGATTAAAAAGTGTGGGCTTCACCAGAAAGAGAAAGAAAAATACCATATGAGATCACTCATATGTGAAATCTTAAAAGAAAAAAACAATAAATACAAAACAGAAA